AGGTGGTGATGGTAGGGTTCATTTAGGTCATGTTTTGCTTTCGGATTTAAGTCATGTTGGGTTTGTGGGTTTTGTTTGGGCTTATGGTTAATTGTGGTGATGGGGCCTAGTAGATTCAATCTCAAGATGCTAACTTGTAGAAAGGCTTTGGGTGGTGTTTAGGGCTTGAAATGGTGTTCTAATAGAAAATGGGCAAAAAGGAAAGACTAAGGTTGAGCTTTTTATGTTTCCAGTAGTTGGAGGAGATGTTTGCTCTACTGCAAAGGCTTGTGATGCTAGAACAAGATACTTCATAAGAGAAAATGGGTGTTTCATGTTTGGAATGAGGGTTTTGGGAGAGAGAAGAAGAAGATGGAATAACCGAGGCTTGAATCTGATGCTTCTAGCAGTGGGAGAGTATATGCTTACTGTTCTGATCTTGTTAGTTCTAATAGTTAACCCATGGCCTACGTTAGAGGTGCTGTACACCTTTAAACCCTAGACAATTCTTTCTTTTTTTAGCCAAGTCATCTCTCCTATATCCCTTAATTTTCTCCAATTTGGCCCTTATCAGTGAAATTCCCTAAAATCAACTGAGTCCATGGTTGTTGAGGCAAAACATTTTGATGCCCCAAAGCCTTCTTGCAGATAAGCCTTGCAACAACCTCCATTCTTGGAAGTGCTCTCTTTCACTTACTCTCATTATTTTCTTGCGATAGCTTATAGTGGAAATTTTGGGAGAAGGTGTTGGTCAAATGGGAGAAAGACGTGAGCTTCCAACAACCTATGTATCTAAGTGAACGATATTTTAGGGATTCTGGTTGGGGTGATGGAATTCTCTCTTTGCTTACACATGTAGTTGGGCTCAAGAAAGTGGGCTTGAATTTTGGTGCCTCCAAGCAGCCCAAAACCTCCACCTTTTGAACCCTGAATGGGCCTTATGGACTGTTGTACCCATCCACACCACAATCCGCTCATCAAGCTTCATGCATGTATGTGGCTTGGGCCTACTCTTGTCGAATGATTTGACAGTAAAGGTAGTCGAACTTCTGGTTTGGCACTAAATCACAACCTATCTGCCAGGGACAAGAGACAATGTTGTGAAGAACTTCTGGAGCACTAGGCGAAAGAGGTTGCAAAGAATTTTGCAGAAATCGACATCATTACAATACCAGAACAAGGAAGGGAAGAGCCCTCGCTTGCCCATGCATCATGAATTACCAAAGGTTAAGGTAGCAATTAATGTTATCAAACTATCTAGACAGCTTGATATTTAAATTTTTAAAGATTTTTCTTGTCATCAATAATAGAAGTGGGGATTTCCAAATATTCAAATTAACAATTAAATGGTTTCAGGTTCCTTCAGATTCATACAGTTATGCTATTGAGGATGTAACACCCCGACCCTAACTTAATTCTCCTTCTAAATTAATTAATTAATTTAAGTATGAATTTACAATTTTGCCCTCGGGGGTAGGGGTAATTTGGTAACTTTTTAAACCAGAAGGATTTTGGGGTAGTGAGTGGTATTTTTACGTAGATCGTAGTGAGATGAGTCCGTAGACACGTAGTGGGCTCGAATCGGAGTTGCAACGAGAAAGTTACGATAAAAAAACACTCAGTGGCATAACCGTAACTTTTGCGAAATGAGTTTAATAAATCGGAATTTCTCTCTCTCTCTCTCTCTCTCTCTCTCTCTCACAGACCCCCCCCTTCGAACTTTTCTCTCTAGCCGGCAGCTTCTCCAAGCCACTGCCGCCACCTCCGGCCGCCATTGTCACTTCCCTCTTCTAGTCCCAGCCCATTCCCGCCTCGATCCGCTGTCGTGGTCGCCGGAAAATCAAGATTTACATGCCTATTTTGACCAGAATTTTCCCGGAGCTCGTTCGGACACCTCCGGCCACCATTTTCTTCGAATTTGGTATTCTTTTCTATCCTTTCAATGTGTTCTAGTTGCTGGTTGTGGTATTTAGGAGAAATTTCTGCATTTTGGTAGTTAAATAGTGATAATAGTTTGGCATGTTTTCGGCCTCCGATTCCAGACACTTCTGTCGACTTTTTAGGGTAGGTCCAAGAACAAAAGTTGCTATACTATATGTGGTGATCATGTAGGTATAAGTCTTAACCAGCGATTTAGAGATTTTCCTATCACCAGAGTCGCTTTGGACACCCACGCGCTGGTCCTTGAGTCCTAAAATCATCCTCATGTCGTCCCGAGCACGACGGTATGCTCAGATATGAATTTGGTTATCGTTTGCTTGTTGATCGGATATCGCATATTAGGCATTATCCGGGGTCGATATGTTCGGCCCGTTGGATCGACTCCAATTTAATGTATGTTGATCTAGGCATTCCTAGGATTGTGTAGGAATTCGCGGATCATGAATCGGATGCCCGGATGTTCCAATTCAATAACTTAAAGTTTCTATTAAACGATAACCGTCTGATCGTATGATCGCGAGCGATCCGATCATCTGATTTGGACCAAACTTGCAGGATGTGTATCATAAACCTTGTGGAACCCATAGGAACTTTCAAATAGTAAAACGGAGGTTGTGGGTCGGGTTGACCCATAGGCCTAGATTGTAAACTATTTGAAAGTTAACTTGTGCATGCTGCTTGTTGGGATATAAATTGCAATTTTAACAGGTTGAAAAATTTGGAAAATGTCCAATTTTCAGGGGAGACTGCCGAAATTTCGGCAGAAAGTCTCGTTCTTTATTATGTGGGCCCGGCATCAGTAAGATGTCGGAAATAAGACGGGATTCGTCCCGAGTTACGAGGAAATTCGGGGCGAGTCCTGTGAACTTGGTATCAGAGCATTAGGTTCATTTCCTTCGACTTTCATGCTTCTTTTGTGTTGTTGAAACTAACGATTCTCTTGTTCCTTCGTATAGAATCACGCCTCCTCGACGTGTTAAGATGAGAGGCTGCGTTCTGAAACCCCGAGTAAAGCCGACTGGCTGTACTATTTATAATATAAAAAATAGTTTGGAACTTGAGAGCTGTAATGGTGCGGTGGGTTCCGTAAAGTGCACCATAACAACGATAAATGGAAAACTCTGACTCTGACGAGCCAGAGAAGAAGAGGCCCACCATGGCTCATAGCTCCACAACACTTCTCCACCCAATAACCATACTATTTTTATTATTAAAAATCCGAGTATAGCCGCGCGGCTATACTGTTTATGAAAAAACAAGAGGAGCACAGGCGCCTAGCGCAAATTCCGGCACGTGTCAAAATAGTATAGCCACGCGGCTATACGATTTTTATCATTAAAAAAGTATAGCCGCGAGGCTATATTATTTATAAGGAAAAAGGGGGACCAGCGTTTCGCAAAGTGTCAAAATAGTATAGCCGCACGGCTATACGATTTTTGTTATAGAAAAATACGAGTATAGCCGAGTTCTGTGGATTGATCGTGATTATTTCTTTGTTTTCTTTGACAATGTCAAATATGGGTAAGTTTAGTGGTGTTACAAACTGTTTTTTCCCTCTTCTAAATGAAAAATATATATAATACTAACCTTAATGTCTAACTTTTTTTGTTCTCAGGTACCCTACGTTTGTCAATAAACTAGCAAGCCATCCCTTTTTATTGACTCATGAAGAAAGAATGGAGTGTTTTAGGAATATAAGATCCACAAATGAAAGTAAGTTGAAGGGAATATTAGATGGTAGGGCATTCCAAAGGTATAGAAACTGGAATAGGTTTGAAGAGATGAGTCGTCGGTTCCGAAAGGTTTATAAATATTCAAAATATGATGGTGAATGTGTATGGGATCTTCTTAAATTTTTTAGAGATGTAGATCTCGTTCATCCTCCTTATAAAGATGCGGATACTGAGGTCAGAAGATTGTACCCTAATTTCTTGGATGAGATTTATACCATCTTATGAAGGTAAATATATGCTATGTGAATAAAATATACTCTTTCCTTTGGACTTTTATCCTTCTATATTGACTTGTTTAATTCTTTTGTTCGGTGCAGATCATGTCATAGCCTCCCTTCCACCCAACTTAAAGATATGTTTTTTCTTGCTGTGGAATTTGGGGACTCTTTTTTTCTTCTTTTTTTCCCATTAGGTTTTAGTGGATAGTGGCACTAATTTTTTTTTCATAATATTATTGTTTTCATGAGTTTTTGTTTTCTAAGAATATTGGAAGACATTATTATTTTCTTGAACGGAATTCGGAACTCCTATTTCCGATCCGTTTCGGCCGAAGAACTGAGAACTATAAGAATTTGAGAGTTGGATCTCTCGGAAGAATATTTATTTTGTTGCAGATTTGGGGGAATTAATTTTCACTTGTGTGTACGAATTATTAATTGCTAGCTGCATATTTACGAATTGGGACAATATGTCTTTGTGATGTCTCTTGTAGAAGCCAAATTACCAACAAATTGGGACAATATGTCTCCAAAATGTTGGGAAGCCTTCACAAAAATAAAATGGAATGCTTTATTAAATAATGAGAAGTGTAATTTATGGCTTTAAATTATCCTAGAATTGTTGCATTTGCTAAAGAAAAAGCCAGTCCCATCCCATCCATGAAAGTACTTCACCTCTTTTGCAAATTCTGTGGGAAGAATGTCCACAGCTTGACATATCAAGCCAGCCCCATCCATGTCGTGATGGTATCATTCACAGGATCATATCTGTAAACCATGATTGAACATATTAGAAATAAATGGTAGAGTATGTGAAAAAGATTGAGATAAATATATATCCCACATGAATCAAAGGCTTGATACAGCAGCAATAAATACCAAGAGAACTGTTATTATCAGAGCTGAAAATTTTATGTCTTGAGCAAGTGCATACATTTCAAGATTGTAATCATGCATGAATCTGTCGATGTTATAACTTATACCTGAAGAAGGGTGAGTCAATGGGCGTGGTTTGGTTGACAAATTCTATAGATCCCCCTATATCAGAGATTCCAATAAGCTTACATCCTTTCCTCATTAAATCTTGAAACTGCTTGGTACTCAATAAGCGAGGAAATCTTTTCTCCCAATACATGCAATTCACTGCCAGCCGAAAAAAAAAAAGAAAGAAAGAAGAAAAAATAAGCTTAAAGAGTGCATTTAATAACCATAATATTTCAAGAATCCTTCTTAATTTATAAGCCAAGCGAGGCACTTACTAAACGACACTAACCCAAATGATTTGACTCAAAAAGTAGATAGCAGAGTGTAAAGCATACCAATTACAGATGCATAAGGGGCTATTCTTTCATGGAAAACAGGGTTGTAGTGTTCTGGATGTGCATAATAGTCAGCCTGAAATAAATTCAGATGTTTAAAGTTCTTTCTGTTATAAGTGTTCAGGATCCGGAGGATTTAAGAAAAAGTAAATCAAAGATATGAATACGAGGGAATTTACTTTGTCAAATGCTCTTGTGGAATCTTTGTGTTGAACCATGTCTTTACTAGTCACAACACAACCATATACATGGAAGACCCTTTTCGATGATCTTGTAGGTTGAGCAGCATCCTTGGCCTAATAAAATAGAAAACTTAGAAAGCTAATACCAAGAAGGCATGCCATATGTCTGTGCAGGGGTGTTAGCACCTAAAATTTTATCCCTCTCAAGTCTGAGTCACTGAGAACCTGGTTAGTACTCCTCCATGGGTTATGCAAGCTCTCGTCAAGTGTGCAGGTATCTTTGTGATGTCTCTTGTAGAAGCCAAATTACCAACAAATTGGGACAATATGTCTCCAAAATGTTGGGAAGCCTTCACAAAAATAAAATGGAATGCTTTATTAAATAATGAGAAGTGTAATTTATGGCTTTAAATTATCCTAGAATTGTTGCATTTGCTAAAGAAAAAGCCAGTCCCATCCCATCCATGAAAGTACGTCACCTCTTTTGCAAATTCTGTTGGAAGGATATCCACAGCTTGACATATCAAGCCAGCCCCATCCATGTCGTGATGGTAAGAATCATTCACAGGATCATATCTGTAAACCATGATTGAACATATTAGAAATAAATATATAAAACGGATTGAGATAAATATATATCCCACATGAATCAAAAGCTTGATACAGCAGAAATAAATACCAAGAGAACTGTTATTATCAGAGCTGAAAATTCTATGTCTAGAGCAAGTGCATACATTTCAAGGTTGTATTCATGCATGAATCTATCGATGTTATAACTTATACCTGAAGAAGGGTGAGTCAATGGACGTGGTTTGGTTGACAAATTCTATAGATCCCCCTATATCACAAGTTATATCAGAGATTCCAATAAGCTTACATCCTTTCCTCATTAAATCTTGAAACTGCTTGGTACTCAATAAGCGAGGAAATCTTTTCTCCCAATACATGCAATTCACTGCCAGCCGAAAAAAAAAAAGAAAGAAAGAAGAAAAAATAAGCTTAAAGAGTGCATTTAATAACCATAATATTTCAAGAATCCTTCTTAATTTATAAGCCAAGCGAGGCACTTACTAAATGACACTAACCCAAATGATTTGTCTCAAAAAGTAGATAGCAGAGTGTAAAGCATACCAATTACAGATGCATAAGGGGCTATTCTTTCATGGAAAACAGGGTTGTAGTGTTCTGGATGTGCATAATAGTCAGCCTGAAATAAATTCAGATGTTTAAAGTGTTTTCTGTTATTAGTGTTCAGGATCCGGAGGATCTAAGAAAAAGTAAATCGAAGATCTATTAATAAAATGAAACAAATGCAAAATAAGATATGAATATGAGGGAATTTACTTTGTCAAATGCTCTTGTGGAATCTTTGTGTTGAACCATGTCTTTACTAGTCACAACACAACCATATACGTGGAAGACCCTTTTCGATGATCTTGTAGGTTGAGCAGCATCCTTGGCCTAATAAAAAAGAAAACTTAGAAAGCTAATACCAAGAAGGCATGCCATATGTCTGTGCAGGGGTGTTAGCACCTAACATTTTATCCCTCTCAAGTCTGAAGTCACTGAGAACCTGGTTACAACTGCCTTTTTCTTCTCCTATTATTCTTATCTTACTGGATCCAGTTGGAAGCATCAATAGTAAATCCACAATTTATGTGCTGGTTTGACGACTTACCGTCCCAGATAGCTCTGGAAGTCTGCTAGGATCCACAAAAGTATGAGGAAGAAGCTTAAATATCTCTTGCGCGCCAGAAGAAACTACAGGAAAGATAGTTACATCAGAGCTATTATGATACTAGATTTTTTGTTTCAACTAAAAATGGTGCTCTGCATAGGAACTTGAAAACAATATCAAATTAAAAATGTAAATAAGTGAGAATTCACCCATGCAATGTCAAAATTTTAGTTCTTGAGTTGCATTTGCAGAAAGTTGCCTAGTAACAGATTGTTGACAATATTGTTAATGTTTATGAGGAGATTTATATGCAATGTACCGTTTCCTGAACCGGTGAAGACAAAGACCAGAGGGCAGATTCCTGATGGTAGTCCCAGAGTTGCTATCTCTTCACCCACGGAAATCACTGCAGCCTTAGCAGCAGCCAAGGACGTATACATATAAGATGCACCCAACGAGAGGAACGGTGTTGAATATCCAAGACTTAAGTACCCTTGAAAAAGAAAAGAAAGAATGAGAAAAACAGAAAGAAGGTTTAAAAAATGAATGCAATACCTCACATCCAAAGTACCAACTCTCAAACTTCAATACAGTTAAAGAAACCACATAGGAAAGTCCAGCTCATGGACTATCCCAAGCTCTAAAGTTGCATGCACTAACTAAAGCTGCAAAAACTTTTCCTTGAACAACAAATTCAGCCAGAGCATAAGAATCCAGTAAGTAGTCGAAAATCAACATTGTAGAAAACAGAACATACTCTGTCCTAACCCGCGAAGGAAGTCGATAAATCCAGCTCTACCAGCATACTTTCCAAATGCAAGTAGTCTTTTCCCGTGATCCCCCACAATAAGCTCGTAATCATAAAGGGACACCCTTTCAGCTAGGATCTGCACACCACAGAAACAGTGATAAACTGGTAATGAAGCAAAACATAGTATTATAAATCACTGCCCTGCTCTTAATATATGCAAATGCAAACAAGACAAGACCTTGTCCAAGAGTGGCATGTTTTCCTTCTGAGCCTTGTGAGTATGAGAGAAAAATGCATAGGCTCTATCAGGAAGAATCATCTCCAGCTGCACCACAAGTCCAAAGCCAAACAATCGTGTCAATAAATTGGTGATCCATTGACAAACTTGATGCTATATTATGTTGAAAGCAAAGCAGAGAAAAAAGAGTGAAAAAAATAGTACCTTGGGCTGTTTGATGCCGAGGATGAGGCCGCATTGGGATAAATCCTCAGAGATTTCACACCCAACATCCTCATACATTGCATCATGATGGATGCGCTTTGTGGAGGGCTGCACTATGATGCGGGAAACCCCAGTTTTGTCTCTGCCACTGTGGAGCAGCCTAGCACAGTGTGATGGAGTCAAAGGTGCTCTTCTCTCCCACTTGTTCACTGACTCTGACAAAATCCCCACCACCCCATTTCCAAGCATTTTTCTTTTTCTGAAGCTTTGTGATCTACCTCTGCCTTAAATTGATCACTTTCTAGCAAGAATCAAGATCGATCAAAACAAAAACCCAAAACCAAGATCAAAGATCCACACATCACCACCACCAAAACTCTTTCAACAATTCAAAAGGCCAAAACTCTTTCAATTACCCTGCAGAAGAAAATCATGCAACTTGGTTTTGTTGGTTTTTTTCTCTGTTTTATCTGTGTATTTGGTATCAGAGTCTTGTCAAATATAGAGAAGATTAATTGAAGGAAGTGGAGAATGTAGAGAGAATTGGAGCTGGAACATATTTTCTGATTTCAACTTACTTGTCTTTGTATTACTTACAATACATTTATAATTACAAGCCAAGACAAGGCATCCCTAAGACAAGGAAACAAAGTTTCCCTAAGACAAAAAAGTAAAGTAAAGCTCCCTAAAACAAGGTTCCCTAAAACAAGGTTCCCTAGAATAAGGACTAGGACTTTGTGTAGACAAGATAGAGGGACGCCCTTTCAGCTAGGATCAGCACACCACAGAAACAGTGGTAAACTGGTAATGAAGCAAAACATAGTATTATAAATCACTGCCCTGCTCTAAATATATGCAAATGCAAACAAGACAAGACCTTGTCTAAGAGTGGCATGTTTTCCTTCTGAGCCTTGTGAGTATGAGAGAAAAATGCATAGGCTCTATCAGGAAGAATCATCTCCAGCTGCACCACAAGTCAAAAGCCAAAAAATTGTGTCAATAATTTGGTGATCCATTGACAAACTTGATGCTATATTATGCTGAAAGCAAAGCAGAAAAAAAAAGGAGTGCAAAAAGTAGTACCTTGGAATAAATCCTCAGAGATTTCACACCCAACATCCTCATACATTGCATCATGATGGATGAGCTTTGTGGAGGGCTGCACTATGATGCGGGCAACCCCAGTTTTGTCTCTGCCACTGTGGAGCAGCCTAGCACAGTGAGATGGAGTCAAAGGTGCTCTTCTCTCCCACTTGTTTACTGACTCGGACAAAATCCCCACCACCCCATTTCCAAGCACTTTTCTTTTTCAGAAGCTTTGTGATCTTCCCCTGCCTTAATTTGATCACTTTCTTGCAAGAATCAAGATCAATCAAAACAAAAACCTAAAACCAAGATCAAAGATCCATACATCACCACCATCAAAAGTCTTTAAACAATTCAAAATGCCAAAACTCTTTCAACTACTTTGCAGAAAATCATGCAACTTGGTTTTGTTGGTTTTTTTTTAGGGTTTCTTAGATCTAGGTCCAAAATGATTAATTGTCATTAGGCTAAGTCCTCTCCGTTTTGGTTTTAGATGCAAGTACTTCGAATTTTATTACTTTTTTTGTTATGTTAATTTTACCCTTTGAGGTAAATAAGGAAACACATTGAAAATCCAAATTTAATACATTATTTCATTGTAATTGAATTTCATAATTTCAAATTTGAATTCTTTCCTTGTGAATATTTACCTAATATATGGATAACATACAATTTAATCAATAAAAGTAATGACCCATATATTATACTAATGATAAGGCAAGCACCCACATGAAATTATGTACCTATGCATCAGATAAACACCAATATTGAAAACACAGTATGTTTAATACTTATCAAGTTGATAACAACAAATAAAAAACTTGAGAAAAACAAGAGAACTATTTATGACATTTTTATGTACCTAATATGGAGGTACTGTGAGCTAATATGCTTTATTCTACCTATATATATATATATATATAGGTAGAATTTTCTAATGTACCTGGTTACTATGTAAATATAAGATTTTGTGCCTAATTACTAGGTAAATGTGAGATTATTTGCATAACTTATTAGGTAAATATAGGATTGTACCTGATTATTGGGGGAAGTATGAGATAATATATAATCTACCTGATATATAGGTATTTTGTTATTTTAATATACCTTTTTTTTGGTTTCTTCAATTTACCTAATAAAGAGGTCGTAAACAATAAGAAAGTAAGCCAATGATTTTTTTGGGTTAAAAGAAGAACAAAAATGACAATGTTAATATACAAAATCATGGATGCAAATAAAAGAAGAAGAAAAAAAAAGCAACATAATTAATAGGAAAAACTACATAAAACCCGCCAAACTATAGGATCATTTTCAAGTTCATACCCAACTTTAGAGACAAAGTTGATTATGTACTCATAAATGTCTCTAAAGTTGGGTATGAACTTGAAAATGACCCTATAGTTTGGGAGGTTTTATGTAGTTTTTCCTAATTAATATACCAAAATCATTATGGTCATAAGCACTTAATTTGTTAATTAATTATGGTCATAAACAATTCTTTCCTTAATTAGTACATAAATTACAGTTACCTGATTCAAGGCATAAGGGGCAATATTGGAATAAAAAATAATTTAAAATACGAATAAAAAGATTAGATCAGAAAATATTTAAAAAGGAATGTAATCCTATATAGCACAAAAGTCAAAGGACTTATATCAAAGTCACCAACTCCGAGGATTAAAACCAAGTTCTCAATAGGAATTTGAATCTATATCAACTTTTCTATAAATTATATAAGAAAGGAACTTATGCTATGTGGGGGTGATAATCAACAAAATTGTAATGACCTCAAAAATAATATTTGGTTTTATTATTTTTGTGGAAAATCTTATTAAGTCGTGTGACTATTTTGGGTGTTGTATGAATTTAGTTTGATGTGAAAATATTGGAATTAAGTGAGTTTAATCTCAAATTGGGACAAAAATACCTTTATGATTAAGTTTATGATTTTTCAAAGGAAGTACAATAAATTGAAGTGAGAAAATTATTATTTTTGAATTGGAAAATCGAGATTGATCTCACGAATGCGTAGGCACAAACGGTTCGTGAATCCGAGTTGAAACGAAGAAGTTATGCTCGTTTGAAGTTTTAGGGACTTATTTGCAAAAAATAAACAGTGACAGATTTTGGTTTATAAATTGTGGAGGGCTACTGTGCAATTCAGATTTCTCATTTTGGTCCCCGAAGGTTTGAGAGCTCGTCGGAGAGGCGATTTCCGGCGGCTTCTGCGGCGGTTTACGGTGGAGGTGATCGACACCACCAACCCCGATAGAAAGCCTGCTATCTTTTGAACATAACCCAAGAAGAATCAGAGTCATCGGAGGTGCAGTGAAGGCACGGTGGTGCTGTGAAATTGGTTCATCAACAGTGAATGCAACAACTTCAACCGGTGGTTTGAGCCACTTACACTTCGAATTGGACCTTGAGGTAAGAATTAAAGTTGTTCTACTCAGTATTATGAACATTTTGGTGTAAGTCTTGACCGGCGATTCTAGGGTGGTCCGTCACCGGAATAGTACCCGAACCACCACCGGCGGTGGCGGCGCGTGGCAGCGTATGGTGGGGATTCTGAGTTAGGGCTTCAGAGACAGAATGTAGTACTGGAGTTATTGAACATGATAGTATGTTTAAATTGTTGAGATTCCGTCGTTTGATCGACGATCGGAGCCTCACAAATCTGGACCATTGATTGGAGATGATCGGACCGTTGGATCGTGTCCAATTTTAATTATGTTGTAGCTGGTGTTGTGAGGAGTCTGTAGGTTCAGACGGATTGATGATCGGACCTCCCGATCTTAAGTTATCATGTTTCAAAGTTAAGGCGAGCGATCGTCATTTGATCGTGCGATATAGAATTATCCGACCGTTGGATTGGGCCCAAATTGTCGCAGGGAGATATCGGGACTATTTAGAGTCCATTGGTGCGATCGGATTTGGAATCCGAGGTTGTGGGCCCAAGGTGGATTTTTGGGGTGTCAGTTAGACATGTGGGACCCACGGGACCCAAATAGTGACTTTTGGACAAGGGGTGTCATTGGTCATGATTTGACATCGACAGCACGTACGTCACAGTTTTGGAGTTGGTTGGACGAATTTGATCACTTTGGATCCCTGGTTGGTCCAAAGGGCAATTTCGTCATTAGATACGAAATCTTGGATTTTGGAGTTTTGTGCTAAGTTGAGCTATGTACTTTGCTTAGGTACTATTGGAGATTGAGTTGCTCGTTGAGGTTTGAGATTGAGGATTCGTTAAGTTGTTGAAGACGCAGCTTGGACGAGAGGTTAGTAAAACCATCCTAATCGTGAGTAAAATCACGAATTATTATATTTATTATAAGGTGACATTGGATAATGTTAATGGCTATAATTAACATGTTGGTTGTGATTTTATAAAATGTTTTAATTGATTTAAAACACATGAACTTGTTCTTCAACGGTTCATGAGGTAAGTGAAACCTATTTTGTTTTGAATTAATTCTTTTTATTAGAGATTTTGGTGTTTAACCATATAACATATATTGTGGATGTATGGTGGAAATTCATTCGTGAATAACCACTATATATAATAAATATATATTGCTGTGATTGGTGTATTTGGCTATTAAATAATGTTTAATGTGAAATGACATTTTATATTGTTTTGGTGTTGGTGTTTTTGGTGTTGGTGTTTTGGTGTTGATGGAGTTAGGTGAGAATACCTTGAATCCCTTCTGAGTTTGTCAGGTGGGCATTCTCGTGGCAAATAATGAGGGATAAATTACCCTAGGGAGGAAGACCCAAGAACAGTTAGAGCTCTAGTCTGGCGCCATCTAGTACTCATGACTGGAGTGTAATCATGAGTGAACACTACTTTGGAATTTTGTAGTGTTATAGATTAGAGGTTCATAGTATTCTCTCTTCTATCTGTCAAATAAATGACGTGTTAAAACTACTTTGAAATAAAGAGTTTTGGTGTGGTCACAGGTGGTGATCGAAACAGTTCTTTTTTTTAAAATAAAAGAATTGTGTTTGTGTTGATATTGATGATTATGATTACCTTGGTTATACAAGGATGGTGGTATGCTAATGAAAGTGCATGTGTTTGTATATTATGTGTAATTGACATATTATACTGTGGACGTGGTTTACTCATATGAGCTTTAGAAAGCTTACCGGGTTGTTCTGTGGTGAACCCGGTGCACTATTCAATGGTGTAGGGGAAAATCCTGTAGGTGGTAGAGACCGTGAGCAGGAGAATTAAGGTGAGGAGCAGGAGGCTCGTTGGTGGTTACACAGAGTGTAAAGTGTGGTGTGAGAGTGTTGGTGAGTGTTAGACTTCTGCTGTGTGAAATAAGCTCTGAGGAGCATATTATGTAATATGATGATTGTTCATTTATTATGTGAGTTTGTAATGTAATATTTGACTCAGAAGAGTTGAGTCATTATTGACATTGTGGTTCGGAACAGTGGTGTCGTATCAAGGAAGAAAAATTTAAATTTCTAGGTACTTTTGTCAAAGGTTCCGAGCTTTGCGTCCCGGATTGTTGGTTGTTCTGTTTAAATTTGCAGATTAATTGCGTGACAAAAATTGCCATCAAATTAATATAATGACCTTAATGGCTGGTCACCCTGTGCCTTCAAAATTATGATGTCAAATAACATGGGGTCATATTCAGTGGAGAACTTTTAAAAATTAAAAAAAAAAAGATTGAAAAAGATGGAAAATCACACTTAGAAGTCAAGCATAACGCTTAAAAAAGGAAGAATGACGTATTTATGGAATTTTTGGGTTGCTTGAGCTAGCTAAAAGAAAATATTGATTTATTAATTTCTTATTTTGTTGTTAATTGTAAAACAGTCAATCAGGATATTATATTCCTGATATAGATTTACCTTTTTAATAATTTGGGATTTTAATTTTCTTATTAGGTAAGTTTTAGGATATTCATTACGTGCAAACCTTTTTTTTTTTTTTGGGTGCAACATGCCCCTTCTTCTATTGCAGGAGTAGGAAACTTTGTTTCCAGTTTCTGATTTTGCAGTATTCCCCTATATTAGATACAGGATTCCTATTTAATCTTAGGTTATTCTCATATATTCTCCTATAAAAAGAACAGGATCTTGGGCACATTGGTTATTCATACAATCGATCAACTGATCAACCGAGGAGAGAGTTTAGAGAAAGGAGAGCAAAGTCAGTTTTTAATATTTCATATTGGAGGAGTATATATGATGGAGCTAAAAAATGAAGATTATGAGGCTAACGAAGGAAGATCAAGAGTTAGGGAAGACTACGTACCCCAACCCACAGCTTTAGAAAGGATTCCACACCAGAATTTCATAGGAACGGTACGTAGTATTTGATAAATGCTTGATTATTATGAAAATTTATATCTCGCAATTATACTTTGTCATTTGTATCCTATTCCAATTTACCTGGCCGTTATATATTTTCATCTGTCTGCATATGTGTAATTGATTTTTGTTTTCTTCCAGGTTGTGGAAATTGTAAGCGGGGATCACATCATCATTGTGGCTGATGATTCTTTTAAAGATAGCAGTGAACACGAGTATGAAGTTCTTCTTTCAAGTATTTCGTGTCCGAAATCGGGCGGTGGTGGAGTAGAACCGGAGGCGTATGCCTATGAAGCAAAGGAGTTTGTGAGAGCACTCCTTATTGGTCGTCAAGTATGCATGAGAACTATTTTTCTTTTCATATGTGTTGTTATCTTAATTATAGAAATCTCTTCTTTTTTTTTGCCATTGAAGTATATATATATACCAAGAAACATTAATGAACAAACACTTGCATGCAGGTGCATGTTGAATTGGAGTATTCAAGGAAGCATGGCATAGAAAATATGAAAACATATCACCACGGATCAGTTTTCCTTGTAACTGCTCTTGATAGCCAGAATGTTTCTGAGTTGGTCGTCGCAGAAGGCCTTGCCACTGTTTTGAAACGTGATGATATTGAGGTGGTATCAAACTATTATGATGCCCTTTGTAACGCAGAATCATCTGCTATTCTTAATAAGAAAGGAATGCATTCTGGCGTGGATCCCCCAGTCATGGACATAAAAGACGTGTCAGATGTGAGAATTACCCCATAATTTATAGTAATTATTATTACAAGGGATTAATGCGTTTTCTCTAAGCGTTTTTTCATGCATTCATTCATTTGATGTGTTTGTTTCAGGCAACGTGGCAGGAAGCTGGTAATGCCAGTAATCATATATTTTTGTACTTATATGGTAAATACAACAAAGTTCCTGCTGTTGTGGAATCTGTAATCCATACTAACAGTAGGAATAAAATTATACTATTCATTCAACAATATGGGCAAACATGGAGGATTGCCTTCTCACTTTATGGTGTCATATGGCCCAGAGATGAGGAGCCCTATGCAGCTGAAGCGTTCCGACTTCTGAGGCGAACAATACTTCAAAGAAGGGTGGAGGTGATTATTTAGCAATATTTATTTGGTACCTTTGATTTCCCCTTGGGTTTTTTTTGTGCTTCGATAAAATTGTCTCTTGTACAGGTTGAACTGAGCACTAATCATCCTATTGATTATGATGGATATTTCGTGGGAACTTTATTGTTGGAGTCAAATACCCATGTGGCAATCCCCCTCCTTCAAGCTGGCCTTGCAAAGTGGAAGGAGAGTATCCCGAAGGCACTTATGACTACGAACTTTGATAAAGCTCAGAAGTCTGAAAGAACGAAGAAACTGAAAGTATGTGAAGCAGCATATATATATATGCATTAAGACAATTGTCTTTCTTTTAACTAATTATGTTAATAATATTTATTCCTTTTGTTGCAGATGTGGGAGAAAAAAATGGAAGGAGAGTATCCCGAAGGCACTTATGACTACGAACTTGATAAAGCTCAGAAGTCTGCAAGAACGAAGAAACTGAAAGTATGTGAAGCAGCATATATATATGCATTAAGACAATTGTCTTTCTTTTAACTAATTGTGTTAATAATATTTATTCCTTTTGTTGCAGATGTGGGAGAATTATGTTGAACCATCTTACCAATGCACTGGCGCTGTGGAGGGAGATATCTAGTATAGGCTAAGAAATTAGAAGAAAATAAATTTTAGGAATTGAGAAATTTTTTATCGTATAGTTTAGCCTTAGTTCTGTGGGCTACCTTTTGATATACCTCCTGGTTCTCTTTGTCGATCAGTTTTGTCTGCTGTCAATCTATGAAGCTTGTTGCTCTTTTTCCAATTCTCGATTAAAATTATATATCGACAGCTCAAGTTAATTACCTACAGTAAATTTCAATTTATTGTTTGTGTTTTAACCTTTCAAAACACCCTTCTAAAGAGGCCATGTGAGAAGAGTTTTCTATTTAAACCCCGCACTTCTCTTTGTTCTAATTCAAATTTTCATAATTTCTAAGAAAACCCCACTATCTTCCCAAACTACGCCTAAATACACACCCAGCAGAAAATAATAAAAAAACAAAAAACTCAACAACATCATGCCCCACACCCCGCTATCTTGCCCCTCACTACTATAACTAAACCAAGAAATAATATCACATTACATACCTCAATTGACGACCCACAAGCCACTATTTGCATACCTTATTTAGGGTTTGTGAAGAGAAGATGAGAGTGTAGTACGTTTCCTTGATTGAAAGAGAAGAGTAATCTAACCAAGGTGGTTGGTGTGAGTGGTTTGGCACTCTCATTCCTTAAGAGAGGTCAGGGGTTCGATCCCTGCTCTTGTACGGAGTCACCACTTTGGCCAGCACTTTACCCCTTACGGGCCGACCAGGTGTGAGCGGAGATTAGTTTGGGTTGTGGTTAAGGCTTAAAGGTGCCACCCATAGTTGGGGCCTATCCAGGACCACCTCGTGGTTCAGACCAAAAAAAAAAGAAAAAAAGAGTAATCTGGCAATACGGTGTAGAGGAGTTTGTGTTTTTCTAAAACTTAATATGAAGAGTGGTGGGTGTGTGTATAGATAAACTAGAGTTAAGTGTTAAGTTGGATGACCTTTTTTGTATTTTTAATAACTTAATGATTTAAGTATTTGAGTGGAAAAAAAAAAGTGTGAGGTTTAAATATATAAACTCATCTGAGAATATTTATTTATATTCAAAAGTCGCAACATAGGAGCGAACAGTTTTGATAAGCCTCAATAGATAATGAGGTTGATGAGTTGTATTATTGTCAAGAGGGGACAATAAAGACTCGGGTAATGGTCTAATAGTAATGGATAATGCTCTAAACTACTCTTATTGATAAATCAAAATAGGGAAGAAAAAAAATAGTATATCCGCGCGGCTATACTATTTATTTTAAAAAAAAACACTTTACATGAAGAATCTTAGAATACTACCACCTCTCTATCTATTATACCCATAAATCTTTGTTTGAAATTGTTGTTCTGGTTGGCCAAGAGATTGGAAAATCACCATCTTGCACTTTTGTTACAACAAGTAAGAAATAATCTTAGCCTCTCACATTCTTTCATAGTTAGTGAAATACGGAATGGGAAAAATACGAATAAAATACGTACATTTTTATTTGCCAAAATTTTTGAAAGTTACAACTGAAAAGTTCAGCCACTATATAATATTTTAATAAAATTTATTTAAGAGTAAATTGAGCTTAAACCCATAAAATTCATTTTAAATCACCTACCACCCTTCTCTTTATTTTTCTATTTAAAATACCCAATTTTTTTCAAATAATATCCGATGATTAGGATCCAACTAAGTAAGTTACCTAATATAACTTAAAATCTGATTTATTGTATTTTTCGGATTCCAAAACTATCCATATTTATGACTTAATGTGTTATGGGGGGTGTAACTAATGACACACTTTGAATTTGGAAAGATCTCCAAATGGTTGTAATGGATGTAGGAATTAATTTAAAAACTTATTTGAAATTAAATATTAAATTCAACATTAACGTATTAGTAATCTATATAGGTGATTAACGTTTTTGGTTTATTTAATATAAAAAATTATGTTGTTTTTCCTTTTATGAATTATACGATAGTAATCTATTTTATTTTAGTTTTATGAATAATAGTGTACATTCTAATTATGTTGAAAAATAATTTGATAATCTATTTATTGTTTGTTTTTTGAAAACATTTTTTTTTTCAATGAACCTATTTTTTCTCTAAATAATGTGCCTATTTTTTTTCTCTAAATAATGTACCCTTTTTTTCTCTAAATAAAGCACCTATTACTTGTTTTATGAAAAATGATTTGATCATCTTTTATTGTTTGTTTTATGATTTTTTTTTAAATGAACCTATTTTTTCTCTCCAAATACTGTACCTATTTTTTTCTCTAACAATGTACCTAGTAAAACAATTTACCTAAATAATGTACCTATTACTTGTTTTATGAAAAATAATTTGATAATCTATTTATTTTTTGTTTTATGAATTTTTTTTAAATGAACCTATTTTTTCTCTCTAAATAATGTACCTATTTTTTTTTCTCTAATAATGTATACCTAGTAAAACAATTTACCTAGTATAATGAACTTATTTTTTTTCTTCTGAATAATGTACCTATTTTTCATTTATAAAAAATGTGCATAAATTTCAATTATATAACGTACGTACCTATTTTCTATAAATTATTGTGTCCCTATTTTTAATTTATGAAATTGCTAAATATGTTGAAGAAGCTCTCACTTTGCGTCTTACGTCTACTAGGGAGTTGTTAAAACTCTTGGAACATACCATTTATTCTCATAGGGAAAAAACAGAGAGGATAGTCCACACTTTGGATGGAAAGATATCTTCTGAAGGTCAGAGGTTCAATTGTAAATTCATTGTTGTGCAAACTAATTTCATACAGTAACTTTTTCATTTTTTAACACTTATTTTTGAAGGAGTAAGTGCATGAGGAATTATGTACTGATTATAGGTTCTTTGTTTCTTGTGATTCTCAGATGATATCATCCAGTTACCTAAGATTGACGACGGAGAGGGAGGTTAAAAATCTGCTGGAAGCGATTGATATTCTTCACGTGAAGCAGCTAGAGTATGCTGATGTAATTCGGACTTACCTTAGCAGCCAGTCAACAGATTAGTCTGAAATTAGGCGCATTACAGGTTTCTGAGATGGTTATAGTCACAAGCCTTGGTTTTTTATTTGTATATTTAGCAGGAATGCTTAATCTTACACTTGATTACTGACGGCACATATGTAGTTTTTGTTTTTGTTTTTTTTTTTCATTTTTTCCCATTGCAAGAAAATTTAATGTCTCAAAGTTTTTGTTTTTGGATCTACACTTCAGCCCATCCAACCCATGTCACTTGAGCTAAGGCTCGTGGCGGTACATGTAAAGACTCAGCATCATATTTAAGACCTATAGATTCAGGAACTTTGCTCAATTTCTGACAGAGAGTAAGTCTCAAAGTTTACCACTCTTTGGTGATGCCACCTTTTGATTGTTTGTTGAATATGTAAATTTTCTGTAATGGGTGACACAGGTGAGCTGGATGACAGCATGACTGAACTAGAGGAGAGTAGGAGGAAACTAGTGAATCTGAAAATGCAAAAGGATGTCGCATCTGGGATGCATAACCTTACTTCTGGTGCAGTGAATGGAACCCCCTATCACCTGAAAAATCAACAGAAAGGACAATAAACTTGCGGGAACTTAGAAATTCAATCGAGGAAACAAAGGTACAGATATGTTGCCAAATCTCCTTTGTACCAGCTCCCATTCTCACTCTTTCTCTAACATGCGTTTGAGCATGTATTGCACATGCTAACAGCTGACCGCCTTTCTGAGTATCAATTGAGGCACATGAAGAAAATTAAACGCTGTCAAAACAATTGCAAGAATTTCAGGTTTCTAATTTTGAATTTTCTAAAGGTTTGATTGCTTTGTTTTTGTGTTTCCAGATGCTTTGAATGCTTGTCTTTTTTTAATTATAAATAGCCTATACTCTGGTTTTTGTCTTTCCCGGTTCAGGAAACGGTGCATTGCATATAAATATCCTCTCATGACCATCAACATTTCTGCAAGTGCAACTCAAGAACAACATTTTTGACATTGTGTAGGTGGATTGCAGCGTTCAAATGTCTCTTATTGTACTTATTTACATTTTTTTAACTTGATATTGTTTTTTAAAGTTCCTATGCAGAGCACCATTTTTTTAGTGTCAGTCAGTTCGCATGATGCAGGATTTTACTATTTCTTATGAAAACAAAATTCTGGTATCGTAATAGCTCTGATGTAACTATATTTTCCTGTAGTTTCTTCTGGCGCACAAGAGATTTTAAGCTTCTTCCTTAATGCTCGAATTTTAGTGGATCCTAGCAGACTTCCAGAGGCGCCCGGCTACACTATTTTTCAGAAAAACCGTTATAAAGCCGGGCGGCTATACTATTTTTATTATTAAAAAATCCGATTATAGCCGCGCGGCTATACTATTTTTATTAAAACCCTTAGTAGAGCCGCGCGGCTATACAACCTACATCTGTGCAAAATACAAGATACATGACAACCCTGCTTGCTTCATATGCCAACTAAATGCATAATTTAGTATATTCCAACCTTGAGTTGAATTTTTAAATAGGTTCAAAGTATTTACCTTAATTCAGATAAGTGAGAATTATTTGTGAGAGGTGCACTTACTGCTCTCAAAGTACAGAGGCACAAAAATATTCAATTTCATTGCACAAAGCAACATAACATTTGACGTCTCGAAAACAAATATCATATCATAACATTGATTCTCAGAATAAACAGAAGTTGCTTGCTCTCGAGCTCATAAAACTACAAGGTTATTATGGCTAATCAGAATTCTAGTAAGGCCTTGCTGCTACCAAGCATGACCTTGTATTTCTCTGTGTTTTTTCTTTTCTCATTTTCAAGCCCAAAAAAAACACATATGCTCATAAAACTACACATATGCTCGCTTGCACTTGCACATAAAGCTTAGGAAAGAAGAGAAGTAGGAGGGAGGAATGGCCACCAGAATAGTTGCGATGAAAAATTATAATCCCAATACCTGATGATACGATGTTTTTTTTGCAAGAACCACCACCATAGCAAACTTCTCTTGAGTTCAACGTGCCTACAGTAAACCTCTCTTGAGTTCAACGGGACCATCCTTGTTCTATACAAATACGTAACAAAAGCACTTCCAAAAAAAGTAAATGTACAAAACAGCAAGAAATAATTTTAAGAAAAGTATATCACATATACGCTCGCTTGCGCTTGCACATAAAGCTTAGGAAAGAAGAGAAGTAGGAGGGAGGAATGGCCACCAGAATAGCTGCGATGAAAAATTATAATCCCAATACCTGATGATACATAAAGTCTCAGTGAAAACAAGGCACCTCATCATAATTTCTTCTTTTGAGAATGAAACCGGGCAAAATTATTCACCTTCATTTCCTTTTTCTGCATGATGACACCCCTCCGCCATACAAAGATAAATCCAGGTCATCCTACTGGCACAAGGAGTTTCAGTTTAAACAAAGGCATGGTTCCAATCAAATAAGTTACAAAGATTTGTTTCTGGTAAAGCAAACAAGGTTAGTTAACTTAATTCACAACTTCGTACGTAGAATGAGTTTCAAAGCCAAACCAAGACCAAGCAACGTTCTACTTTGATATCTAAGTTGAATGCAATCTGTCTCTTTCCTCAAAGGACTGAATCACATAGAAGGTTTCAGAAGAGAAAAATATAAATAAAAGAAACTAACACCACTTCAAAACAGAGTCGTTGTCGAGACTAACAACATAACTATAAAAACCCTATCAAACAAGTTAAAAACGTTAATAGCCTCCAAAATCCAACAGTAGCTTCAATATCATGCCAAACAGACAAAATCCAAGTTAAGGAACCCTTACGCGCCAGTTGCTGTAGTTCCTAGAACTTGATGTCAAATATGCAGTGCAAGGACTATCGATGGAAACTTGACAAACAAGAGATCCACCATCTCAACACCAAATGGTGCAATTTAATATAATAATGAAAGCACACAATCATATTAGAATTCCCCGTGAGTTAGAAGAAATTGAAAGGTTAGTTATGAAGTGAGTGTTGAAATATCACTTATAATTGAGAGAATGCAGAATAATATATTGAATGGAAAGTGGCTTTTAAATAGCCTTACAGAACAGAAAGCAAAAGAACACGATCCCATGACTAACGGTCCCTGATATCAAGGGATCCTCCTAAAGAAAAGTTCAAACCTTATCTACTTCCTTAAAACAAGGTTTATTTCAACTAAAACTAAACAACTTTAACAAATAGTAAATAATAACTTTTCATCCTCCCTTAAATTGAAAAGCAATTAAGCTTTCAATTTAAAGACAAACTTGAGCAGATCCCCAGCAATTTCTGCATCTTTACGAATTCCTCCAACTTTAATGGCTTAGTTAGGATATCAGCAACCTGCATATTGCTTGGACAGTGCTCTAACTCAATTACTTCATTTTTGACAAGATCTCGAAGGAAATGGAATCTGACATCAATGTGCTTGCTCCTCCCATGCATTACTGGATTTCTGGACAGCTTAATAGCAGAGCTATTGTCACAGAAAATCACAGTAGGCTTATCTTGTTGAAAGCACAGTTCTACGAGCAACCTTCTTAGCCAAACAGCTTGACTTGCACTTGAAGTTGCGGCTATGAATTCAGCTTTTGTTGTAGAGAGAGTAACAACTGGCTGTTTTTTCGATGACCAAGAGATAGCTGCTGAACTTAGCATGAATACATATCCAGATGTACTTTTCCTATCATCAAGATCACCTGCATAGTCACTGTCGCTGAATCCCATTAACTCACCCCCAGCTTCCTTCTTGTTTCTAGTTTCCTTCTTGTAGAATAGACCAAGGTCTGTTGTTCCTTTCAAATAGCGAAGCACTCTCTTAGCTGTCTGATAATGAAGTTCAGTAGGTGA